GAGTCCCTTTCTCCATGTATCCGCACCAGTACTGGTTGTTCTTGTTCTTTTGGATGTGCTCCAGCCTCTGTAGTGTAAAATGATATCTCATTGTTGTTTTGATTTACATCTCCCCGGGGGTACAAAAAAGTGATTTGGAGCATTTTTTTCTGTGTGCCTTTTAGCCACCTGTATTTTTTTTTTTGAGGAAGTTTCTGTTCATTTCTTCTCCCTATTTTTGATGGGGTTGGAGGTTTTTTTCTTATAAAGTTCTACCAGTCTCTTATATACCCAGCTTATCTGATATGTATTGGGTAAATAATTTTTCCCATTCGTGGGATGTCTCTGTATTTTGGTCACTATTTCTTTTGAAGTGCAGAAGCTACTTAGTTTATTGTAGTGGGACTTACATTTTCAACTAACATACAGTATCAGACCTGACACTATTGTATCTCAATATGGAAGGAATATTATGCAGCAATATCAAAGCTACCTGTGACTATTGGATATGCCAAACACAGTAACAAGTATCACAATGTTACTGGGCCCACTCCAGCGAGCAAATCAATGAACAATGGGAGAACAGTGACAGTGACATAAGTAATTGGAGGTTTAAGTGTAAATTTTAAGAAAATTTGCTTGTTTGAAATGTGACTTCAAAAATGGAAATTAAAAGTGAAATATGGTGTAGGGGATAAGGCACTTCCCTTGTGTGCAGCCTATCGAGTTCAATCTTGACACCACATATGGTTTCCCTTTAGGAGTAAAGTCCTGAGTACAGCTATATGTGTATGTGTGTGTATGTATATATATACATATATATATGTGTGTGTGTGTGTATGTGTGTGCGTGCATATATATGTATATTTACACATATCTGTATATAATTACACAGATATATGTGTGTATATGTATGGAACTGGTCTAGTGCTTCATCTGTGTTAACTTGTTTGTATTAATTGAGAAAGTAAAAAAAAAAGTAAAGGTCCTCCCGTTGATCATCGATTTGCTCGAGCAGGCCCAGTAACGTCTCCATTGGAGACTTTGTTGTTACTGTGTCTGGCATATCGAATACTCTCGGTAGCTTGCCGGGCTCTCCGAGAGGGGCGGAGGAATCGAACTCTGGTCGGCCATGTTGGCTGCGTGCAAGGCAAACGCCCTACCCGCTGTGCTATCGCTCCAGCGATAATTGTTAATTGAGAAAAAACTTTTAATTGAGAAAAAACTTTTAATTGAGAAAGATGCTTAGATAACATAATTACACAAATTTAAAATATCAGAGTTTCAGGCTTTACTACTCTACTTATCAAGAAATAACAATATTAGTAAATATGTACTAATGATCCGATAGAGCAAGAAATCAATGAACAGCTTTTTCAGGAGTGGAGATAAGACATATAATCATAATAATGCTTCTCCAATATAAGGGAAATAAAGACCTTTGAAATTAAGACAAGTCAAAATATTACAAATGGAATATAGAAAACTACATTAGAAAATTAAATAGAAAAATATACACCTATACAATTTAAATGGAAATTGTCACTTTAACTGTTTATTAGTAAAATTTCTGAACGTTGTCGAACTGTTTTTCTTATATATACACATTGTGCTATTTAAAAACACTACTTCAGGGGTGAATTTGAGATATCAGAGTCAGATATCTCAAAACTCTGCAGTGCGAGTCTTGCTTGTACTAGGACCTGATGCTGAGCTCTACCACTGGATGGTCCACTTGGAAACCATGTCTATCCCTGATGATCCCAATACCACCAAGAACGAGCAGTATCTGTTCTCAGACCTGATGCATAAACCATCAGGCCTAACACAATTTAAGTAACACGCTGGGGACCCTGAGAACTCCCTAAAATTCCTTTCCCTTTACCCTACAAATATCACTGTTTTAATCTCAAAATACTGTTCCTTTTCAAGATGGTGATAAAAATAGGAGTTAGGTGGTAAAAATAGATTGCGGTTGTTCTGAATGGCACCCAGCCCATTTATCAGGATTTCATTAGACTGTAAAAGAGATACTTGGACTGGGGCTGTAGTGGTAACACAGCAGGTAGGGCACTTGCCTTGCATGCGGCCGACCCAGGTTTGATTCCCAGCATCCCATATGGTTCCCTGAGCACCGCCAGGGATAATGAGTGCAGAGCCAGGAGGAACCCCTGTGCGTCACCAGGTGTGACCCAAAAAGCAATAAATAAATAAATAAATAAATAAATAAAAGAGATACTTGACCTAAAACAAAGTGACCAAATATTTGCTTCTCAAGTGGAAGTAGGACTTGGAGGAACAGAAGTAAGTGAACAAACAGTGCAGAAGATAAGTTATTCCAAACAGATAATTTGTTAAAGTGAATATAGACCAGAGCCCAGATAGTACAGGAGATAAGGAGCTTATTTCACACAAAGTGGACCAGGTTTGTTCCATGGTACCACATATAGTTCCCTGAATACTGTCAGGAGTAAAACCTGAGCGCAGCAGCAGGAGTAAGCTTTGAGCACTGCCAAATGGATAAAAAGAAGAAAAGGAAGAGAGCAAGGATAGAAGGAAGGATGGAAGGAAGGAAAGAAGGAAGGAAGGAAGAAAGGAAGGAGGGAGGGAGGGGAGGGAGGGAGGGAGGGAGGGAGGGAGGAAGGAAGGAAGGAAGGAAGGAAGGAAGGAAGGAAGGAAGGCGGAGGGGGAGGGAGGGAGGGAGGGAGGGAGGAAGCAAAGGAGGGAGGGAGGGAGGGAGGGAGGGAGGAAGTAAAGAAGGGAGGGAGGGAGGGAGGGAGGGAGGGAGGAAGGAAGGAAGGAAGGAAGGAAGGAAGGAAGGAAGGAAGGAAGGAAGGAAGGAAGGGAGGAAGGGAACAGGAATGGTTAGAGAGCATACCAATCATTCACAGGACCCCGAGTTTGATCCCCAACACCCTGAATGACCTTGCAAGCACTATCAGGTGTAGCTCTGGTGGCCCCCAGAGCAAGTAATGAGGTCCGTATTCCAAAAGTAAAATAAAACATATACCCAAAAATTATTACCAAAAAAAGAAGAAAAGAATGTCAAGGTAAGTTATTTTTTAAAGTCATTAATAGAATATGGAACTATGGCCAGGTATACAATCATATGTACAAATTGTATAGAAATATCTCATATATACTTCCTCCAATAGGAATCTTTCGAAAATTTTGACGTAAATAATTTCATTCAAATGTTAGGGGAAAAATCATTACAATGTGATGTAGAATTAATTAGTGGTAAATTACAATAGGAAAATCAACACTGAATTAGGACATAAAATATTGTATATTTATCAGCATTTGTATACTAATTAGCAACTGAATGATACTTTCTAAGTTTCATATACTTTTCAAGATTTTCATTTAAATCAAAATTTTAAAGAAATATGCAAAGGATACTGCTACCATTTCTACTTGATTGATGACAAAACTGAATCACAATGAAACCACCGTGTTTGAAGTATGTGATTAGTATTTTATTTTATTTTTTAATTTTTGTTATTGAATCACTGTGAAACAGGTCTTTACAAAGCTTTTCATGATTAGTTTTCAGTCGTATAGTGTTCCAACACCCATCCCTCCACCAGTGTACATTTCCCATTTCCCAACAACAGTGTACCCAGGTTCAGTTTCACTCCCATCATCCCCCGCCCCCAGCTTCCAGCCTCTCTCTCTGGCAGGTGCTCCTCTCTCTCTCTCTCTCTCTCTCTCTCTCTCTCTCTCTCTCTCTCTCTCTGTGTGTGTTTGTGTCTATCTCTAAGTCACTCTCCTCTATCTCTCTGTCTCTATCTCTCTGTCTCTCTCTGTCTCTCTCTCTCTCCCTTTTAGGCATTGTAGTTTGTAATACAGATACTGAAAGGTTATCAGGAATATCGTTTTATTATGGTAGTAATAGCTGGAAATTATCACATTGGACATGAACTGAGTGTTATAAATAGATAAAGTGATTAGTATTTCAAATCTGAGTTTTCTGTTCTTAATTACATTGGTAACATGATAAAAGTAAAAATGATTGTGATGATTTTATATAATTCTATAATTGTCATACCTGACATATCTTAAAATTCTAAATAACAAATTTCTCATCTGAATGTTATTTATCACTGGGTCTGAAGAATCAATCGTGTGGCTCAGGTAATCCAGGGCACCCTAAGGCTAGAGCAGCACTGCTTCCTCTGACCCTCTCAGTGAACTGCAGGTGATCCAAGAGTCTCTGGAAGGGTCCCTGGATTGCTCCCTGTACATTTCTTGGCCCAAGAAATAATTTTTAAAAATAAATAATGCATTTGTGTTCTATACCAAAAGAGCAGACATCATTAAAGTATTCAAGAAATTTAAGCTTTGCCTTTAAAGTTCATGTTTAAGTTGGCAGTAAAATATAGTTAAATTAGTAATTACAATCCAATGTGCACATAAAAATAAAAGAGGTAAAAATAAAAATCAGTAAAAGAAGTTATGTTGTTATATGGTATAAAATAATTAGACCTTTTAATAACTCTTTAAATTTCCAAAATATGCTACTATGGAATAATAAAAAATTGCAATAACAATATTATATTTTTCTGTTTGTGAAACTCATTATTTAAATTATATAATTTACATGTTATTTTTCAACCACTGAAACATACCAAATGAAATTAATTCTGTATGTTTCTGTATGTCTGTAATTTTCTTCAAAGAGATTTCTATTCATTTCCTCTCCCCATTTTTTGTATAATATTTTGCATTTTTCCTGTGATTCATCTTTGTGAATACTTTATATATACTTGAATATGAACTCTTTATCTGATGTATTGAGGACAAATATTGTCTCCCATTCATCTGGGAGTCTTTTAGGTTAGCCAATATCTATTTTGCCATGCAGAGGCTCTATAATTTGATGTAGTCACACTTGCTTATTTTTGTTTTTTAAAAATTATTTTACATAATTTGTTGAGCAGTCAATACTTATGTGATGTTAACATCACTCTCCTCAGATCATCTACAGATGTGGAATAAACAGAAGTCAGAAGTCAACAATGAAAAACCATACAAAACCAACTTTTATTCTGCTAGGTCTGACGGAAGATCCAGAACTGAAAATTATAGTTTTCACTTTTCTATTTATCACCTATATGCTGAGTGTGACTGGAAACTTGACCATTATCATCCTCACATTCATTGACTCTCATCTTAAAACTGCCATGTACTTTTTCTTACAAAATTTCTCCCTTTTAGAAATCTCCTTTACATCTGCATGTATTCCCAGGTATTTGTACAATATCTCCACAGGTGACAAGAAAATCTCATATGACAGTTGTGCTGCTCAAATTTTTTTCACTGACCTCTTTGCTACTACAGAGTTTTTTCTTCTCGCTGCCATGTCCTATGACCGATATGTAGCCATCTGCAAGCCACTGCACTATGCAATCATCATGAACCAAAAAGCCTGTAGAAAATTCATCCTCGGCTGCTGGATAGCTGGCTTGTTAATCATATTCCCTCCTCTTAGCCTAGGCCTGAATCTGGAATTCTGTGACTCTACTGTTATTGATCATTTTGTCTGTGATGCACCCCCACTCCTGAAGATCACATGCTCAGAAACGTGGCTCATTGAAGAGGTGATTATGGTCTGTGCCGTGTTGATCTTTATCATGACTCTTGTCTGTGTAGTTCTATCCTATGTATACATCATCAAGACCATTCTACGATTCCCTTCTGCCCAACAAAGAAAAAAGGCTTTTTCAACGTGTTCATCCCACATGATTGTGGTCTCCATCACCTATGGTAGCTGTATTTTCATCTATATTAAACCATCTGTGAAACAATCAGTGGCTATAAATAAAGGTGTAGCAGTGCTCACCACTTCCATTGCTCCTATGCTGAACCCCTTTATTTACACCTTGAGAAACAAGCAAGTAAAACAAGCTTTCAATGATGCAATCAAAAGAATTGTGTCATTCTATAAAACATAAGGAAATTTGTTAGTGTAAAAGAATCAAATTTATATAAAATATCATGTTTTACCCCTAAACATAGAAATATTCTTGTAAATTAATGTGAACCTCAATAAAAAAGTCATAAAGAATCAGACATCTCTCAATTATATTTATCTTTAAGTTTTAATAATTTCCTTCCTGATAAGAAAATATTACTGTGGTGACTTTGTCAGTAAGAAAATGCAATATTGGAGCTGAATCAATAGTACAGTGAGTAGGGCACTTTCTTTGCACTTGGTGTCCGTATTTGATCTCTGGCACCACATATGGTACCCTGAATGCCCCAGGATTGATCTGAGTGCAGACCAGGAGTTAGTCCTGAGCACCCATTGGGTATAGCCCAAAAACAAAAAGAAAAGAAGAGGCAAAGAAAAATAAGATGAAAAAAGAACAGAAAAAGGAAAGAAGAAAAATGGGGGGAAGGGGAGAAAAGAAAGGGGAGGAGAAGAGGAGAGGAGAGGGGAGGGTATGGGAGAGGAGTGGAGGAGAGGAGGGGAGTGGAAGAGAGGGGAGGAGAGAGGACTGAAAAGGGGCAGGGGAGGGGAAGGAAGGAAAGGGAGGGGGAAGGGAGGAAAGGGGAGGGGAGGAGAGGGGAAGGGAGGAGAGGGGAGGGGAGATAGGAGAGGAGGGGAGGGGAGACAGGAGAGGAGGGGAGGGGAGGGAAGGAGAGGAGAGGAGGGGAGAGGAAGGGAAGGAAGGGGTGGGGGGAGGAGGAGGAAAAAGAAAACATTCCAGGTAACTAAATAATAACTTCACATTTAAACAAGTCTTTAAAGAACAATAATGGAAAATTTTGATTCCTATTAATATTGTAGCATTAGTATCGGGTAGGGCGTTCGCCTTACAAGCAGCCAACATGGCCGACCCGAGTTCGATTCCTCCGCCCCTCTCGGAGAGCCCGGCAAGCTACCGAGAGTATTCGATATGCCAGACACAGTAACAACAAAGTCTCCAATGGAGACGTTACTGGGCCTGCTCGAGCAAATCGACGATCAACGGGAGGGCCATTAGTATTCATGCTTATTGTCTATTCCAACTCTACACTGAGTTACTTTTTTTATCCCAGGCCTCATTATAGGTTATTCTCCTCTGCCATATTTTGGTCCACACTTGCCTGTGCTAAGAACTTACTCCTGGCTCTGTTCCATTCTCCTGTTACTTGTAGAATGTAATCAGGGAATCTAATATGAATCTTTGTATAAAATCTCTGAGGGCGGCCTCAGACAGCTCTTCCCTGGCCTCCCAGATTCTGGGGTGCCCGGGCCGCTCCCCCAGCCTGGACGGCCTGGGAGCCATGGGACAGATGGCAGAGGAAGCAAGGGCCAAGCCGGTTGATTGATCAGTTGTCATTTATTCCATTCTCACCCCTGTACACCCCCCCCTCCTTCATCCCGGGCCCCAATCTGAAACCCCTCTTTCCTGGCTCTGGCTCTGGATCTTGATTCCCATCCCCCAGCCCACTCTTACAGTCGAATTCACTGTATCACTGTATCACTGTCATCCTGTTGTTCATAGATTGCCTCAAGCAGGCCCCAGTAACGTCTCCTTCGTCCTATCCCTGAGATTTTAAAAAGTGCCAAATTCGAGGATCTTTCAGGGTCAGGAGAATGAGATCCATCATTGTTACTGGTTTTTGGCATACTGAATACAACACAGGGAGTTTGCCAGACTCTGCCATGTGGGCAGGATACTTTTGGTAGCCTGCCAGGTTCTCCAGAGTAAGAATTAGATGATAAGGCGTCGTGCGGCCTCAGGAGCAGGGTTTTATAGTCTCTGGGTCTTGGCCATTGATGGGATTACACGGCGCCGGGGCAGTTGGTGGGTGTAACGCCTACATACTGGAAGATGGGGGATCTGTGTGGAGGAGGCCCCAGTCCCAATCCAAGCAGTCTTGGAGATCTATACCCAGGTCCCGCACACCTGGGTTCCTCAGTCGGTTCCTTCATGCGTGAGGCTGGCCCAAATGTGTGGAGAGTGGTCTTAAGCATGGCTGTGGCTGGAACCAGAGGTCTTTAGCTGCCAGGGCTCTGCTAGGGGTGGGGAGGGAAATTCAACCCACCCCCCTCCAAGGGGCTCCGGTGAGGACAGCCAGGTGCGGAGGCAGGAGACTCTGCACTGTTCTCTGACAGGAGCAGAGTTTTATAGTCCGTGTAATCTATGCAATCCCATCAACGGCCAAGACCCAGAGATCCAGTCAAGTGCCTCACATTCTTGGCTGCTGTCTACTGTCTGTTTCACTGGAATCCCCAAAGACACACCTGTTGCCCAAATTAGAATTCACCTTATGCACTTACTTGCTTGTGCTGCTCTGACTATGGCAGCTGGGTCTGGACACATGCTGCCAGGGACCTCCTTGGTGACTCCAAGGAGGCCTCAGCTGTGCCTGGCACTGCTTTGGGGAGTGTGTGGTGCTTGGGATCACCCCAGGGATCCGCACATATGCAAGCCATGTGCTCCTGAACCCTGTGTCATATGTCCAGCCCTCCCCTTTCTCTACTCACACCCAATGTCATTTATCTCTATTACCTTTATTATTATTATTATTATTGTTTGGTGCTACTTTTATACTCCTGTCTGAGAGGAGCATCTGTGGGTTCTGGAGGGTGGCCGATGAGAAGATTATCTGGTGCCGGCAGGGTGTGGCTTATGGGTGTGATCCTGAGTGGGGGAAGCAGGCAGAGGATCTCTGCTGCCAGTCCGTTGAGTCCAGAATCCAAGGTCAAAAAGTTCTGCATTATCTGGGTTCCCTGGGACTTCATTCTTGCATGAGACTCAGCCTGAGGAACCCAGCCCCATCAGCCGACCTCCACTGCCCAACCATTGCCACGCTCCAGGACGCTTTCCAGACACATTATAAGACACTTCCTACCCATTTATGCCTCTTGGAGAGCCCAGCAAGCTACCGAGAGTATCCCGCCCTCATGGGCACATCCTGGCAAGCTACCCATCGCATATGCGTATCCAAATATGCCAAAAACAGTAACGACAATAGGTCTCATTCTCCTGACCCTGAAAGAGCCTCCAGTCGTTGGGAAAAAGAAGAGTAAGAAGAGACTGCTAAAATCTTAGGGCTGGGAGGAATAGAGACGTTACTGGTGCCCTCTCGAGTAATTTGACGATCAAAGGAATGACAGTGATACAGTGATTATTTGATGCTGGGATCATACATGTGGAACATGTGCTCTACCTCAGAACCTCTTCATTTTCCCTTTTTTTTTTTTTGCATGCATCAAATGTGAGGTCACACTTGCAACACAAGTGCTTTACCACTGGGCCATGTTCCCAGTCCTAATTCTTTTTTAAAAATTTATTATTTATTTTTTATTAGTGAATCACTGTGAGGTACATTTACAAACTTATGAACGTTCGTGTTTGCATTTCAGTCATAAAATGATCGTTTACCCATCCCTCCACCAAAGTTCCAGTATGCTCCCACCCGCCCACACTCCTCCCTCCCCACCTCTGCGGCAGGACATTTCCTTTTGTTCTCTCTCCTTTTGGGTGTTGTAGTTTGCAGTAGAGGTATTGAGTGGCAATTGTGTTCAGTCTATAGTCAACTTTCAGCCGCATCTCCCATGCCGAGCGGATCCTCCTAGCACCCTTTACTTGGTGGTCCCTTCTCTATCTGAGCTGCCTTTTTCACCCAGCATCTAAGATCAGCTTCGAAGCCGTGGAGCTGAACTCCTGGTCCTCATCTCTACTACTCTTGGTTGTTAGTCTCCCATTCTGTTACTTTATATTTCAAAGATGAGTGCACTCTTTCTATGTCAGGTCTCTCTTTCTGATTCATTTCACTTAACATGATACTCTCCCTATTGATCCACTTACATGCAAATTTCATGACTTCATCTTTTCAGAGCCTGACAAGCTCCCCGTGGCATATTCGATATGCCAAAAACAGTAACAACAAGTCTCACAATGGAGAAGTCACTGGTGCCCGCTCGAGCAAATTGATGAACAACAGGAGGACAGTGCTTCAGTGCTACATCTTTTCTAACAGCTACATAGTATTCCATTGTGTAGGTGTACCAAAGTTTCTTTAACCAGTCATCTGTTCTCCGGCACTCAGGTTTTTTTTCCAGATTCTGGCTATTGTAAACAGTGCAGCAATGAATAAACAAGTACAGATATCATTTTGACTGTACTGTTTTGCCTCTCTGGGATATATTCCCAGGAGTGGTATTGCTGGGTCAAATGAGAGCTCAATATCTAATTTTTTGAGATTCGTCCATGCTATTTTCCAAAAGGGCTGAACCAGTGGGCATTCCCACCAGCAGTGAAGGAAGGTCCCTTTCCTGCCACATCCGCACCAGCACCAGTTGCTTTCCTTCTTTTGGATATGGACCAGTCTCTGTGGTGTGAGATGATATCTCATTGTTGTTTTGATGTGCATCTCTCTGATGATTAGAGACATAGAGCATTTTTTCATGTGCCTTTTAGCCATTCAGATTTCTTCTTTGAGAAAGTTTCTGTTCATTCAATCACCCATTTTTTGATGGGGTTGGATGTTTTCTTCTTGTCCCCTCACATATTTCTAAATAAATTTCCTTTAATAAAACTATTTTGCTTCAAAAATAAATTAAATAAATTAAAAGGATCCAAACAGAAAAATTAATTAAACTATGACTACTTGCATTTTACTTGATGATCACTGTATCACTGTATCACCATCTTCCCATGAACACATCGATTTACTTGAGCGGGCGCCAGTAACATCTCTATTGTTCTGAGATTTTAGCAGCCTTTCTTACTCCTCTTTTTCCAATGATTGGAGGCACTTTCAGGGTCAGGGGAATGAGACCTGTTGTCGTTCCTGTATTTGGCATATCCAATACGCCACGGGGAGCTTGCCAGGCTCTGCCTGTGCGGGTGGGATACTCTCGGAAACTTGCCAGGCTCTCCAAGAGGCATATATTTATATAAATCTCTCTATGATTTGTTGCCTACTGTCTTAATCTCATCAAGTATGATGTGGT